TTACTCTTAGTAGTGGATGAGAATTAAATTAAATTAAATTTAATTAAATTAAATTAAAGCAGGGCTTTACCTAATCTGGATTCCCCTCACATCAACTACATCTGCCACAGCTGGTGTTTTCCATCCTGCTCCCCTCTGGGTGGGGTTTATTCCCAGAAGAGGTTAATCAAGACTTTCCAGCCTCCTTTTCCAGCTGCGTTTAGGCCTTTTAATTTGGAACAGCTCAAAACTCTCTCCGGGTCTTTATGGGAGCTTCCTCTTGTTTGCTGCCACAGCCCAAGGTAACAGGTTTTTCAGGTCAGCCTAGTAAGGATTTGACTTCCCAAAATTCATGCTGCCCTTCCCATAATCTCCCTCTCTTAACTCCCAGCAATCATTTGGGCTGAATTTCTGAACGTGCCTCGACACGACTGATGTCAAGTGCAAGGATTGTCTGTCACACACACGAGGGAAAACCAGGAATCCTCTGCAGAACAAGAGTGAGCAGATGCACTGATCCCTTTTGCCTTGGCAATTAATTTTCCTTAATTCTCATAACTCCTCAGCAAGCTGTTGATGAGCTTTCTGAGCGATGCTATGAAATGAAAAGTTTAAATGTGCTAAAAGTGGTAAATATTTTCCCCAAATCAAACACACACACACACACACACACGCAGACAGAAATTAGATTGCAGTGTTTCCGTGGGGGGATGTGTTTCCCTGCTGTAAAAATGTGCTTTTTCAAGCGTTTTTTGTTCATTTTCCTCCCATGCAAGGCTGGGTGAGGGAGCACAGCATTTGCAAGTCTTGCAGTTCTGTCCAAAACAAGATGTCAGGGGGTATCTGTCAACCTTCATTTCACACGAAGCAGGCACGGCAGGGAAACGTTTCTGCTCAGGATTTGTGGCTTGGCTGCTTTTCAGCCCAACAGGAGCAGTGAGGAATCCTAGGCACTGGTCTTAAGTGGGTCTTAAGCTTCCTCAAGGATCCAAGCTCCAACGCTGGCCCCAAGGTCACAGCGAAACACTTGTGTGTGGTCACCACTGTGTGGTTTGGGGCACTTTCTGGAGGCTGAGGAAAGCCAAGCTGCTGTGTGGGCACCAATAATATTCCCAACAGACCCGATTCCTTAATCCCCTTCTCCAGTTATGCGATTTCAAGGCTCCTTGGCTTTACCTGGGGAGGCAACTACACCTGAGCCAGGTCTAACTCTGCTGCAAGCTCAGTCCAAGGCACCAATCACAGCCCTCCTCTAAGGTTACAATCCTTGTATGGCTGGCAGGGAGAACCTATTAGGAATGTGGCCAATGTCATATTACATGTGCTATTTGTCCAAGAAGAATTTTCTTTGCTTTCTCCTGTTTCTCTAGGAAGTGGCCACAAAGGTCCAGTGTAAGGTTACAGGGCCCACACAGTTTTTTTTTTTTTTTAATCAGATTTTAGCAGCTATTCCTGGAATTACATATTGTTTGGTCTTTTTTGAAGTGAAATGTCAGCAGCCCAGGTGTCGATTTTCATATCAGGGGCTGCTTTTTACCCTGGAGGAGTTCAAATTTTACTAAGATGACAAAATCAGAAGTAAAGGTTTGGATGATAGGGGATCTTTCTTTCTTTTTTTTTTTAATTGGTGATAGAGCAGATTTTTTGTTTTCTAAAGTTCAAAGTTAAATAATGATTATGGTCCTCTGGGGTTAAAAAAAAATAGATTCTGCTACAACCTTGTGCTGGAAGAAGAGGTCAGGACAGGCTGAGGATATCTCAGTGTCTGTGTGTCTGTGGGTGGTTCCGTGGAGGTTCCACAGAGCAGATGGACACCAGCTTTTAGTCCTCACCATTCAGGAAGGGGGAAGATATAGAGAGCCACAAAAGTCATCTCTGATTGTTGAGCTCTTTCTTGTCATGGGAGAAGTATCAAGTGTGAGGCATCTCATGTCTAATTCTTTGACACTACACGGAAAATCAGATCTTTAAGATTTTATCTGCTTTACCCTTCTCTGCGAAGAAGAAATGTGAGGTGTTGGTTTTAGTGTGGCTCAGCCTCAAATTTCAGATCAAATGAAGATGGCACAAGGGAAATGTGGACCTGTTGGAATGAGACCAGAGGAGGCCACGGGGATGCTGCCAGGGCTGGAACCCCTCTGCTCTGGAGCCAGGCTGGGAGAGCTGGGGGGGGTTCACCTGGAGAAGAGAAGGCTCCGGGGAGAGCTGAGAGCCCCTTCCAGGGCCTAAAGGGGCTCCAGGAGAGCTGGAGAGGGACTGGGGACAAAGGATGGAGGGCCAGAACACACAGAATGGCTTCAAACTGCCAGAGAGTAGGGATAGATGGGATATTAGGAAGGAATTTTTGGCTGTGAGGGTGGGGAGGGACTGGAGTGGATTTCCCAGAGAAACTGTGCCTGCTCAATCCCTAGAAGTGTCCAAGGCCAGGTTGGACAGGGCTTGGAGCAACCTGGGATAGTGGAAGGTGTCCCTTCCAGAAGAGTTGGAATTAAATGATCTTTAAGGTCCCTTCCAACCCAAACCATCCTGAGATTCCATGACTCTGGGATTTTATGGCACTAATCCCACAGCTGAAATAGCTGAGGCAGCTTGAGACATGGGTGGAACTCATCTCACCAAATTTTAGCCATTTGCTTATTTACTTACTGAATCTCTTTTAAACTGAGCTTCAACTGGACTAGTTAAACACCCAGTCTTTAGCTAAACTGAACTCAACCAACCTGTGTAATTAGAAATATGATAAATCACCTTCTGGAACTGTTTGCATGTGTTGATAGAGAGGGATCATGGATGACAGGTTAGAGCAGATGATCCCTTCAGATGCCTGAGATATGTCCCACTGCTGGGACCTTTGCTTTTTGCATCATTTTTAATGTTAATATTGGAAAAGCAGCCTAGCGAGGAGGTGAGTTAATTCACGTGAATTAAAACTCTGGTGAAACAACCCGGGAATGTTTCTGAGGTGAAATATTTTGCTTTTAGCCCAATTAATCTGCTTCTTATATCTTCCCCAACAAAACTGTTGATTTTTAAGAGATTTGATGTCAAATTAGGGGTCAATTAGCCAAGTGTGTGATATTGTATGTTTGATGGTGATTTGATAATGATTTGATAATGATTTGATAATGATTTGATAATGATTTGTCATTCTCTGGGAAATGAGTTGTGATGTTTGCTTTGTCCCAAATATATGACTCGAATTCACCCTTGAATTCACCCACTTTTGGCACAAAACTGGGATGTCCTAGTGAGGAGCAGTTGGTTTGGACTTTCCACACTGCAGAAGGAGAAGGAGAAACATCTCCCAAAACAGTTGAGAGTTGCCTCTCCTGAGGCTCCTTCTTCTTCCAAGAGATTAGAGCAGGGCCTGAACATGGCAGTGGAGAACCCTCCAGGTTAAACTGGGATGAAGCTGCCCCACTTGGCACTTTGGGAAATGTGGGTGAGCTTGGAGAGAAACAATTCCCTTTGGTTTAGGGAGTAACCTCCCCGCTCTGGAGCTGGGATGGACTCCAACTCTTTGAGCTGCCTTGGTTTGTTGATTGCTGGTTTCAGGTTTTTTCTTCTCTTTAGCATTTTTCCCCCTCTTTTTCTTCTCCCCCTCTCTCCAAGTGAATCTCAGCAAATTCAACAACCCCTCACCCTCCCTGGCCCCCCGATATGATTTAAATGCCACTGCTGCTGGTACCAGCGCTGAAAAAAGACCTGGCTCCCGTTCAAGTCCTTCTCCTTTCCAAATGTTTAGGGATTTGGAGCCCATACATACAATTACTGCGTGTTTCTGGGGAAGAGAAAATAGCCAGCAGCTGTTCGGTGTCTGATCAATTAGGAGCTGAGGAAGAGGAGTGAAGGAGAGGGGGGTTATTGCTCCAAAATCTGCACACAATTAGGAAACAATGCTCAGAAGGGGGGCTGGGGAGGTGCGGGGAGGACAAACACCCTTCCAGTGGGTCCTTGGGTGGGCAGGTCTGCACCATCAAGAGATTATTGCCCCTAAACTGCTGTGGATGTATTTGCTAAGGATTCGGGAGGGTGAAGGAGGAAGAGGAGCCAGTGCTAGTCTGAGAACATGAACACTTGGTGAGTGGGTGTCTTGGAGTAGATCTCCTTGTCTCCAGTCCTGCAGTGACTTCTGTGGCATCTTGGACACCCACTCCATGGGGAGACATAGAAATGTGAACATCTTGGACAACCACTCCACAGGGAGAGAGAAATGTGAGTATTTTTTCCTTGATATCTTGTCTCACATTTTACCTGAGGTGACTGGGGGAGGTAATGGGATGAGAGACCCTTCACTTATTAGCACTACCCAGCACCAAATCATGGAATCATGGAATGGTTTGAGTTGGAAAGGACCTTAAAGATCATCCAGTCCCACCCCTTGCCATGGGTAGGGAAACCTTCTACTAGCCCAGGTTGCTCCAACCTGGCCTTGGACACTTCCAGGGATCCAGGGGCAGCCACAGCTTCTCTGGGCAACCTGTGCCAAACCTTGCCCTTTAACTCCCAAGACATGACCTGTGCACCTCCTTATGTTATATGGTGACTGAATATGGGTTTGGATGATGTTTATGTTCACCTGAGATCCGGGTGACAACTCTTTCCCACACAGCCTGAAGGTCAAAGGATGCTTGAACCTTATCTTATATCACAACTTGAAGTTTGGGGGGAAGCTGAAGGGAGGCGTTTGTTAGGGATCAAATGAACCCACAAACCCATTGTTTACAGAGAATATGGGTCAACCTTGAAGATATCATGTCTAAAATTTTGATGTATAACTCAGTCTCAGAGAAACTCAGGCTGTTTTCCCTGGATCACAATCCCTGAGTGGTTGGGTTTGGAGGACACCTCTGGAGATCATCTAGTCCGACTTTCCTACTAAAGAAGGTTCACCTAGAATAGGTGAACAGCATCTTGTCCAGGTGGGATTTGAACATCTCCAGAGAAGGAGACTCCAAACCCTCTCTGAGCAGCGTGTTCTGGTGCTCTGTCACCCTCCAAGTAAAGAAATTTTTCCTCATATTCACATGAAACATATTAAGAAGAGACTTTCCCTCAAAGGTGGTTCAGCAATTTGTGATGAAACAGGCAGAGGGGTTTGCACCCACTTCCAGGGAATGAGAACAAATGGAAAGGTTTGGTTTATGAGGTACCTGAGGACAAAAACGAAAACGTTTTCAAAATCAGTTATTTGTGGGGAAAAGGGTGGATAAAACCTGACAGTTGTAGCCACACGGACTGAGACCTTTAGAGCTGGTGAGTTTAATGCCATCCAGCACCCAGAAATGTGATTCTACAGTCACATGGAGCTGCAGAAAGGCCGAGTCTGTCCCTCCTTCACTCAGCAGCAGGAGCATTCCGTGGGTTCTGCTCAGCACTCCCATCACCATGGAGACGTTTGCTGTTTGGGTGGTGACGTGTGGAACCTTACCTGGAGCCTCAGTTCCTCTGCAGTTACATCAGGTTATTTATCTTCGTTGAGATTATTCATCTTCATTAAGATTATTCGTCTTCATCACATATAAAGTGCCCCTGAGCAGGAGCACCTGAAAACGTGACCCAGAAAGCTTTTCAGTGCTGAAGGAAAAGGGGTTCACATCGCCCTAAAATAGATTTATTATTTCACCTGATTGCTTGCTTTAAAATTTGGATGTCTAGTCAACATAGCTCTCTGCATCAGTGGAAAAAGCTAAAAAGTACTAATCTGAACCCAAAATATATGGGATGAGCCTTCCAACCTTTCCACTGACTGGAGACTTGCAGATGATTGGCTTTGAACAGACATCTAAGACTGGCTCTGAATAAACATCTAAGACTCATCAATAGACTCTTGGATGGAGAGAACTGGGTGAAAACCCAGTTTAATGCCAACCTAATTTCTTTAGAGGCTCTTTAAAGATGGAATTCACCCCCAAGATCCCAGAATAAATCAGCTGGAGCAGATGTGTTTGGGTTACGTGAGAGCTCCAACGAATTTTCCCGCGGAGCCATCGGGAGGTTCCAACCTCAGAGCAATAAAACGGTGGTTTTTTAGATTAGAGCTGCAATTTAATTAAAGCTGATTTCCAGGAATGCTGATAGTGCTCCTGGCTCTGCCAAGTCACATTCAAAGGTTGTGTTCCCCAGCTGGCTCTTTGGTGCCATTCAGATTAAACTGACACGGTTCTGGCCAGTCAGGGATCCCCAAACCTCCAGGGTGCTCCAGCCCTATATGGTTATTTATGGGGCTGTGTCCTAGTCCAGTGGTGACAATGAAAAGAGGAAGTTGAAGATGAAAAATTGCCTTCTCAGATGGCCCAGATTAGATTTTTCCACGGTGCTGTTGCAGTTTCCACTCTGCCCAAGTGACTCGACACCACCTTTGCCATCCCTCTGCTCTGTCTCCAACAACACAGCTCCCAGACTTTTCCCTGAAGTGACCTGGGCCTCCTTCCACTCCTCCTGGTAAGTGACATGGAATTCTCTCCTCTGACCCCCTGAACCTCCCACAGAACCATCACAGTCATCTTGGCCTCCCAACTTTTCCTTCTGCTCCCTCAGTGTCTTAAATCAGTAAGGACGGGGCTCAAAGAAAGATTGTCACCTTCCCTTCTCCAGCCCTTGACCTGTGAACCTGTTTTTCCAGACTCCTGGATGTAACACCCGAAAGTCCCAGTGTGAGGCTGTTTCCTGACCCTCCAGGATCAGCACAACCTGGAGATGCTCAACCAGGGACCTCTGCAGCTTGTAAAATAGCTGCCACTTGAGCTCTCAGGGCTCAATTTTGGTCATTCTTGATACCTTGAGACATTCTTCATGGCTTTTTTCTATGCAATGGCTACTTTGTCCTGATTATTTTCCCCTGACTCTTTTCCCTTTATCACTTTCCTCTTCCTGTAGTCAGTATAAATTTAATTTTTTTTGTGTTTCGTGCCCAAATGTGACTGTCACAGATGATTTAGTTCAAAACAAGATGTTTTTTTTCAGTAAACAGAGACTGAAACTTTTTTAAACTCGATTATGACTATTTTTGGCCGGAGATTTGCTGGTAGAGTCAATCAAATAAAAAAAAAATTAATTTTGTGTTTCTCATGAAAAAAAATTGGCTTTTGGGGAAAGGCAAGTGAGCAGAATTCCTTGAACTTCTTGCTGTGTTACTGAGCTTGCAAATAAAGTATTTTAGCAACTTTACCCAGAAACCTGCAATGATAATTCTTCTATTTCATTATTTTTTTGGAAACCTAGTCCATCAAAGGATGGTCAAAATCCTGCCTGGATATTCCATGGAGAAACAAATATGTCCAGAAGATTAATATTCTAAATTTCCAGTAGATATCTAATGTCACTAAAAAGAAGCATCCTTTGGAGGTGAGGTTCTTTCCAGTGGTTTTCCAGGAAGTTTCCATGACCAGTTCAGAGTGAAGAAAGTCCTGTGACACTCAGGAAATGTTCTTCACATGAAGTGGGTTTGGTGTTGATATCCTGTTGATATCCTGCTGATCCCTCTTTTCCTACTGGAAAGATTTGGAATATGTTTGGCTGCATTTGCTATTTAAAACCACGTGATTAATTAAAGTTCCCCCCTGTAGCTTAATTGACTTTGCACACTCCGGGATTTTTTTCCATTCCCTCTTCCCATCCCTGTGCCCTCCAATGGACCCTTTCACTTTCTTGGTTCTCCACTATTTCCATCTTTAAACAGAAAATTCCTGCACCAAGACAATGATTCCTAGGAAAGGACAAGAGAACTTTGTGTACCAAGGTATTGCAGACAAAAACCTATCCAAAAGTGTTGATTTTTGGTTTTAAAGTGAAATAATTCCATGTTCCTTTCTCATTCTTGAGGTGTCCTCTCCATCCAAGTCCCATTCGGGCAGCTCCCATAGTTTTTCACTGAGCTTTCCCCATCATTTCCTTCTAGGATTGCTTGAAAATGCTTTTCCAGCTTGTTTCCTCCCAAAAGGCTTTGTATGCTCAAAGAAATTAAAGATTTAGCAATAATGAATCCAGAATATTGTAGGAGGTGCCCAAGTGGGATTAATTTTTTTTTTTGTTATTTTATGTGAAACACATGAGACAAAACTTCATTTTCTTGGCTCACAGGAAATCCTTTGTGTTTTGAAGCAGAAACATTTATATCAGAGTATGCTGGAAAACAGCAAACATTGATTTGCCTCCCCTGTAAAAGAGAAGCAGCTTCAACCTTTTTGCTCCCTAAAATAATATTTTCTACTTTCTCCTCACTTCCACTCTTGAAATGGCCTCGGTATAAACTTCCCAGTGCCAGTGGAATTCCTGAAGTGCTCATTCCTTTGTTAAACAGCTGCTTAGAGTTGGTCAGACCTCAGTGACAATTCACCACCGGAATCTTTACCAAGGAAAACATGAAGAAAACAACTTTACATCACCCATGGGAATTAAGAATTGAGAATGGGTTTCTCTGAGACAAATCCTTTATTAGCTCCAAAACCGAATGTTGAATTATTCCTTTTGATCAGCTGAATATTGAAATATTCCTTTGGATCACCTGAGGCACTGCAGGAGAAGGCAGAGGAATTGTCAAGCACTGCTGGAAAAAAAGAAGTGCTGAGAGCATCGTTTGTGGTCCTTTGACCTTCTCTGGAAATGATCATAGAATCATAGAATCATAGAATCATAGAATCAGCTGGGTTGGAAGGGACCTCCAAGATCATCGAGTCCAACCCTTGGTCTACTACTGCCGTGGTTCCCAGCCCATGGCACTGATGCCACATCCAGTCTCAGCTTAAAAACCTCCAGGGATGGAGAATTCCCCCCCTCCCTGGGCAGCCCATTCCAATGGCTGAGCACCCTCTCTGCAAAGAAATTCTTCCCAATCTCCAACCTAAACCTCCCCTGGCACAGCTGAAGACCGAGCCCTCTTGTCTTGCTGATGGTTACCTGGGAAAAGAGACCAACCCCCCCCTGGCTCCCCCCTCCTGTCAGGGAGTTGCAGAGAGTGAGGAGGTCTCCCCTGAGCCTCCTCTTCTCCAGCCTGAACAGCCCCAGCTCCCTCAGCCTCTCCTCATGGGAATTGTGCTCCAGTCCCTTCCCCAGCCTTGTTGCTCTTCCCTGGACCTGCTCCAGCCCCTCAATGTCCTTCCTGAGCTGAGGGCCCAGAACTGGACACAGCACTCCAGGGGTGGCCTCACCAGCGCTGAGTCCAGGGACAGAATCACTTCCCTGCTCCTGCTGTCACACTGTTCCTGAGCCAGGCCAGGATCCATTGGCCCTCTTGTCCCCCTGGGCACACTCTGGCTCCTGTTCAGCCTCCTGTCCATCCCCACTCCCAGCTCCCTTCCTGCCTGGCTGCTCTCCAGCCCCTCTGGCCCAGCCTGGAGCTGCCGGGGGTTGTTGTGGCCAAAGTGCAGGACCCGGCCCTTGGCCTGGTTGAACTTCATGATCCTTCATTCCTCTTCTCCACCAACTGCCTGAGCTTCAGGGTAGTCCCACATTGAGTGACTTCCCAGCTGTGACACCTCAGCACTGATGTATCCAGGCCGTTTTCCTCACGAGGAGAAAAATAAAGGAGTACAGACACAGGCACTGGAAAAAGCAGCAGCACCTCCCGAATTCCCACCAACCACTTCCCGGCGCGGTTGTGGTTGGGTCTGTCGGGGAAAAGCTCCACCTTCCAGCCAACTCCTGGCTCAGCCTGGCCCCACCTTCATGTCCAAGACCTAATAAGATCAACCTGAAATTCCTCACAGTGGGGTGGACTCCAGCCAGGATCACCAACTCCTTAAATTCCCTTTGGACAATCATAACACACCCCACCATTAGAGATTTACACTTGGGGTGTGTTGGGACCTTGTGTGGGGTCAGGGTTGACGTGGAAAAGCTCAGCTGTGCCCAAAGTCAGTGCTGGAAGGTGAAATAAAGGTTGTCCAGAGCTGAATTTCTCCCTTCACATCTGAATTAGAGCCTTAAACTGAGAGCAAGGCTGAAATCTCCCCCAAAACACACCCCTGGTGTGAATTTTAGACAAGCTTTTAATGTTAGACAGCACATTTAAGATGTGCTTTCCTTTCCTAGAAGGTCTCAGTGTGAACAGAACTCGTGGGAAAAGCTAAACTCACCCCTGGGAGTGATCACTGATTTATATCATAAATTCTAATGGACCAGGGCTGGTGGCACCACCTTTTAATTTGACCCCTGCTGGGAAGTCAATGTTTCAATTCTCACTGAACCAGAATTCACAGATCTGCATTGTTTTAGAGATATTTTATTCCACCTGTATTGCAGTTTCCCCCCTTCTTATAATTAAAAAATTAACCTAGTTTTTCTCATTCTTTTTTACTCTCTCTGTAGTAAAATTCTGTCTTTTACAAGGCTTTTTTTGTTGTCTGAAAGGATCTTGGTTGGAGCTCCTGTAATCCCTGCAATATTGACACTAAAAAGGCAAATTTTAGCAGACTTCTTCTGCCTAAGGAAGCTCAGTTTGGCTTTTCGTGTTCAGAACCAGGTGAAGGCTGAGCAGATGAACTCCAGGACCTTTCTACTTTGTGGTTTGGGATGAGCTTGGAACAGCAATAACATAAATCCAGAGCACTTTTGCTGGTGGAACTGTAATCTGAAAAAAGAAAATGGATGCATGGAAATCATATTCCCCCCTGTCTTTTGCATGTACCCTCTCAATACTCTTTTATTCAAGAGCTTTTAACTCTTGACCTCATGGCAAATTCATCCCTCATTTAATGCTTAAGATGTTTAGACCATTAGGTAAAAGCAGCATTGTTATTTAGGTTACGTGTCGAAAGTCAGAGTGCCTGGAAAGAATTTTGCTCTGTGGTTTCCAGGCTGACTCCAGAAAATTAGAATTGCAGGGAGGCTCTCCGTGGAGTTCAAGTTAAAATGAAAAAAAATAAAAAAAATCCCAACCCCAAATCCAGACTGAAACAAAGCTTAACAGCAGGAGGAATCAGTGCAAAGGTTTCAAAATTTTCTCTTCACTTCATCAAAATCTGTCATTTCCTAAAGGAAATCAGGCAGGTTAATTGTGCAAAATATATACGTATAAATATATATATATATATATTTCACGTATATATGTGTATATATGTCTATGTGTGTGTATATATTAATTTTTCCCCTGTTCTTCTTCATATCAGACTTCACCATATGGTACTAAACCCATCATTTAATGTGGAATTATGGAGCTAATGGAATGTGGAGAATGAGGTCTTGCCTTCCTATTGGTCACCAGGCTCCCCTTTAGCTGCTGGGGGAAGACCAAACTTATAAACACAGGTCTGTGACCATAGAAACCCCCAAAAGCTCAACTTTTGAAATTGCATCACATTAAAATCATTGGCTTGATTTTTATTTTATTTTTTTTCTTCTATACGTTACACAGGAGAAAAAAAAAATGCCTGGCATGTGTGTTTGAATATATTGTCCAAACCTATATATCGTGGTTCAAAAGCATACAAATCACATAATTCATCCTGGGGAGAGATGCCAGTTTATTTCTCCATTCAGTCATGGTTGAAATGCAAGTAAAATTCAGATCAAAAAGCTCTTTTATCAGTGAAATTTTTAATTTATTCCCAGCTTTGGTGCTCAATCTCACTGTATTTTTCCTGTCCACTTTTCCAGCTCTCTGTACACGGGTGGATATTTTGGAACACCCACTCCTTGCTCAAAAAAGGGCTGTACCCAAAGTCCCATTGTCCCCCTTTCCACCTGAGATTTGAGAATATTTTTCCTTCTATCCAGCTGTAATTTCCCTTTCCGGAACTTGTGGCTCCTCATCCTTCTCCTACACCTCTGAGTAGCTGCATTTCCCACACCAACCCCATTTCTGGAGTGGAATTCTGGAATTTGTTCCCTTTTCCTATGCCTTCCCCAATGCCATTTCCTCCCAAATTCCTTCCTCAAATAAAGCTCAAGTTGGTAAATCTGAGCTGTTCTGTTTATCAATATTTTATAGAAATAACTTTGTTTTCCTTTCCTTCTCTCACACCTACCAGTGACTTTCTATTTATCAATATTTTATAGAAGTAACTTTCTTTTCCTTTCCTTCTCTCACACCTACCAGTGACTTTCTATATATCTTACCATTTTGCCTTCAAATGGCTCATCTGGTTGAATACATCACAAGGAATTCCTCAAGAAAAAATGTGAATATGATCCACTTTTTCCATAAGAAACCTCAAATCTGACTTTGCATCGCCGCCCCTAGAACTAATTCTTTCTACAAGCCCTTATTATGTCCCCAGCTCTCATCCAGCTTCTTAACACTCATCCTTTTAGAAATTTGATTGATGTCCCAGCATCCGTGGTTTGCTCAAAGGGGGTCTTTCTGTTGAATACAAAAAAGTTCATCTATTGATGAATCTTCATCAAGATCTTCCTCTTTCTGCATCTTTGTCTGATTTTCATACCTCTATTCTCCACTTGTTTTTGTTGATTATCTCAGAGCTTAATGGACTATCTGATTATTCCCAGAAATTTGCTCAAAATTGTCCCACAACTGAGGCAATTTTTGAAAGCTTTGTACAGTCACATCTATACCTACATACGTATATGGTGTCATTAATATGGGGTTATGACATAGGTAAGAGAAGGCTCTAGGGAGACCCTATTGTCTCCTTTTATATTTGAACATTAGGTGTCTCCTCTTAGGCCTAAACCAGCCTTATTTTCAATGCCTATAAAACCTGCTCTTAGTTCTGGTCAAACAAGGTCTTTGGAAACTTGGTCCAAATGCCACGAGAAACTCCACGATGTTTCCACTGATTTCTGCAGGCTCTGGGTTAAAGTTCCCGTTTAGAACTCTTCTGATAAGGTATTGATCAATAATTCTTTACCCTCACTATCATCACAGCCTTGATCAGTTATTTATTGGGATTCATGTCTGGTGCTACGTGACCATGGCCGAGGTTCAGCTCCTGGAGCGACCTGGAAAAATGCACAATAAGACACAGACTTTGCCCCTTTGGAGAAGTTATGAACTGAGTCAAGAGCTCAGACAGTGAAACAGAGCCTTTCCAATGTCGACTTTATGGCCAGGGACTTGTCTAACACCCTGTGGACCTTGAAGAAGCCCTGGAACAGCAGAACACGGAGCTGTTGTTCCAATAGGAATGCTCATTCACCCACCTTTATTTTTGGTATAAGGAAGAGAAACCCAAGGAGACAAAAGTGCCAGTTGGAAAACTTGATGCCAATAGAAATTCTATGCTCATTTCAAGTCTATTCTATGCTCATTTCAAGTCTATTTTAATTTCAAGCAGTAAAGTGCAGGTCCTTGGAGCTTTTGTAGACAGTGGAAATTATGCTCGAGCACAGTATGATTGGGGAATATCCATAAAGTTGCCTAATTTTCTACTTTGGAATGGGATGAATTGCACCCAACAACACCCATATTTTTGCCTAGAACTCTGCTGACTACAAAGGGAGCCCAGAGTGACTCATTTCACTGGAGGTGTCCAAATTAAATGCCAGCACTACCTGATGAACTCTACCTCCCCCTCTTCGGTGCGTGTTCGAAGCCTGAGGCTTTCCAGACGTGGTGGTTTGCCACTGAAAAAACCCAAAGTGGCCCAGAGAAGCAGCACCAGCTTCTCTCAGGGACAAAATTTCCTCCCTCTGATCGTGTTGCAAACGAGTTCTGCCTCAGAGGCTCGGGGCACAAAGAACAAAAAGGGATTTGAGCAGCCGGGCGGTGGGAGAAGGGCCGTGGAGGGAGGAGGGGGCTGGAATGGGAAAGGGCAGAAACAGTTTTAAATATTTGGAATCTGCAATTGTATTTCCCCCCCCCTTCTCCTCCTTCCCCTCCCAGAGCTTCATTTTTTTTTTTTTTTTAGCCCAGATTAACTATTCCCCCTACAATGCTTTTTCATAAAGGGATCAAGCCCATTGTTTATAGAATTTGCTAATAACAGCCTCAGTCGTGCTGTCACAGCAGAGTGATTCAATTACAAGACCGGACAATAAAAGCTCAATAAAGAACCCCAAATCCTTATTAAATTCTTTTTTTTTTTTTTTTTTTAATTAATATTAAAAGAAATACCCGAGCGGGCTGGGATTGCCAGATGGGGGAATTTATGCTGCCCAGAAGAATGATATGATCTCTCTGAGTAGCACGGTGCAAATTAAAAGAGGTTTAGCGTTAAGTGTTCATGGCACAAAAGCAATTTTAAGTACCTGCAATCAGCTTAGGTTGGCTAAGCCTAAATATGTACAAATCGTGTAATGGGCAATATCCCTGGCAGTACCACGCAGAGCTGTGACAGATGTGCCCTCCAGGCTTTGCTCTGGGCCCTACAACAGCTCGCCAGGAGCGTGGGGGGTGAGCGGGAGGGGGGGTGTGTGTGTGGTTTGTGGGCCACCTAGTGTCCTGCTGGCGACTACACTGAATAATTTGCTTTTTTTTCTTTTCTCTTAGAACCGATTTTAAGGCATAAAAAAGAGTAGTTCCATCGCCAGGTCAAAGAAACCCACGGATTGTTTTGCTGTTCTCTCTTCGCTGCTTCATTTGGAGACTCGTTGGTGGAAGGGGGTTTAATCTCCTTTTAGTCATTCTCCCACTGGAAAATCCATTGTTTCCCTCCCTACTCATCTTAATTGCTCGTTATCTTTGCTGCAAGGAACTTGGGATTTTTGAAGGGTTGGGGTGTTTTTGTTGTTGTTGTTTTTGTCGTTGCTTTCCCAGCCTGGCATAACTTGGCTGTAGAATCATGGAATGGTTTGGGTTGGAAAGGAACTTAAAGATCATCCAGTCCCACCCCCTGCCATGGGCAGGGACACCTTCCACCAGCCCAGGTTGCTCCAACCTGGCCTTGGACACTTGCAGGGATTTGGGCAGTCACAACTTCTCTGGGTAACCTGTGCCAGGGCCTCCCCATCCTCCCAGCCAACAATTCCTTCCCAATATCCCATGTATCCCTGTCCTCTGGCAGTGGGAAGTCATTCCCTCTGTCCTATTCCTCCAGACCCTTGTCCAAAGTCCCTCTCCAGCCCAACTTCTTTATGATGAAGGACAAGCAAGTTACAGGTGAAGATGTTTTACCTTTGAGGTGGATGAGACGACTCTTGTTTTAGCTGATTTTCTGGCACCCAGTAAGGAATGACCCTAATAGGACCATTCCATGATTCTAAAGATTCTGTGACCTCTGCTCTCCACTTGGTTTTGTTGATTATCTCTGAACTTAATGGAATGTCTAATTATTCCCAGAAATTTGCTTAAAATTGTCCCACAACTGAGGCAATTTTTGAAAGCATTGTACAGTCACATCTGTATCTACATATGTATATGGTGTCATTAATATGGGATTATTATATAGGTAAGAGAAGGCTCTGGGGAGACCCTATCATGGCCTTTCAATAGATAAGAAATTATAAGAATATATATTTCAATATATAAGAATGTATTTATATATTTCAGTATGTGAAAAATTACATGTCAATCATAAGAAAGATGTGAAGAGACTTTTTATGAAGGCCTGTAGTGACAGGACAAGGGTCAGAAGTTATAAACTGGGAGAGGATGGGTTTAAAATGATTGTGAAGGGGAATTATTTTAGGATATTTGAGGCCCTGGGACAGTTTTCCCGGAGAAGTTGTGGATGGCCCATCATTGGAAGTGTTCAGGATGTGTCACTGAGCAACCTGATCTAGCAAAAGACGTCCCTGTCCAAGGCAGAGGGGTTGGACTCGATGACCTTTAAAAGTCCCAAATCATTCTGTGATTCTTCAGTTTTGGCAGTCCTAAAACAAACCCCACAACACTGGGAACTGTGGTTGGATCCCCCTTGGATGAGAAAGCAGTGCCAGTCAGAGAACAGCAAATCTGGAGAGCCCTCCCAAATAACATAACTCAGAAGGAGAACATGACACCAGTGCTGGTCTTTGGCGGGGAGATCATCCCCCAAAATTGCCTGTGTTGTCACAGACCCCTCTGTGGGATTCATCATTAGCTAATTGTCCAAAATAGATGGCAGGACGTGCCCTCCCCAGTGACCTTTCTCTGACAAAAGCAGGAAACCTGGCTTAAAGCAGGGGCTTATGTTTGCACTGGCCGTGGTTAAGGGGGATTAATTCCCTCCTCAGCACTCAATCCCGTTAATCAGTGGGGCTCTGGCTGTCGGCTGCAGAGACACGCGGAGCATTCACCCTGTTTTTGGGATGGTGCTTTGGGATTGCTGGGATAAACCGTCCTCCAGAGTGGAATGAGAAGCTCTTCGGATGCTTCAGTGACTTTCCAGTGACCAGGAAGGAGGAACATGGGGTTTGAAGGCTTTGCGACAGAGGCCTGGAGGTTTCTCTGGAGCTGCGTTTGGGTCCTGCCTTTACCACACACTGTGAAATGATGGATCCCCCTCGTTTTTCGGGATAAAGTGGGGTGTTCATTGCTGGGGGTAACAACAGCTATAGGTACATTTAATTTGGGGGTTCCCTTGCCTTAAATTTATCATTTAGAACTTTAATGTTGAGTCCTATCCTGGACTGGGTGCTTAAGACACAGAGTGGAGTAAGTCCCCTCGAAGTACCTATTTCTGCTCATGGTTCATGGAATCATAAAATCATGGAACATCCTGAGTTGGAAGGGACTCACCAGGATCATCAAGTCCAACTCCTGGCCCTGCACAGGACAACCCCAAGAATCCAACCATGTTCCTGAGAGCGTTGTCCAAATACTTCCTGAAATCTGTCCGGATTGGGGCTGCCACCACTTCCCTGTTCCACCCTCTTGTGAAGAACCTTTTCCTAACACTCATTTCTCTCCAGCTCAGATTAAACTTTGACTTTTCAAGTGACCACCTGTAAACAAGTGAAAAGTCTTTGCCTTTGGAGATGAAGAATGATCCGAATCTGTTATTTCCTTTCCTGATTTAAGAAACGCTCGCAAAGAACGGGAGCAGTGAGGCAAAGGTGGATTTTTACCAATATTAAATAAATATAAATGCTAAGAGACCGATCAAATTTGGCCAACGTGAATTTTCTCATATAAACTTCCCCAAAGTGGGATGAATTTCCAGTGTAGGAGACACATATTTTTTAATTAAGAGAAAAGCATTTATTAGATGAGAGGGCAAAACCAGCCCAATGTGATGCCTTTGAAGCTCTCAGCCCCCTGCTCGATTCCCTGAACTCCCCCTCCCCTGTCATGGGGCTTTATATTTCACAGCATCCATAACATGGATTTATCAAAGGTCACTATGGCAACATCCAGGCAATCCGAGACAAATCCGTGGACGAGCATGGAAACAGGACAAAACAAACTGAAATCGCCCCGTTCCCACCCAGGTTCCCTCCTCCCCCCCCGTGCCCCTCCAGCTCCAAATTTAGCCCAGTTCTATTATTAATACTCAATATTACCTCAGCTGAGGGTGAAAAGCAGGAGAGGAATATCAGTGTTGTCCAGGACGGCTGGGGCTGCGGGGAAAGCGGGATAATTGTATTGGCATGTGTGAATTCTGGGAATCAGAGCCTCCTAATATTTGTTTTGGCCGGGTTTCCATGGCAATAAGGGTACTTGCTATTAATTCTCTGGTTTATTGCTAAGTCTTTATTCGGAGAATTTGGGGAGGGGGTTATTCACATTCAATTTGGAATTCCAGGCCATATATATATATATATATGTATATGTATATATATATATATATATGGCTCTGGGGAGGCCCTATTATGGCCTTTCAATAGATAAGAAATTATAAGAATATATATTTCAATATATATAAGAATATATATTTCAATATATAAGAATGTATATTTCAATATGTAAGAAATTTGTGTATATATACATATAAGAAATATATATATATAAAAATATAAATATAAACCCATAAAATAAACAAACAAACAAACAAACAAACAAATAAATAAATAAATAAATATTATGTACATATAATATATATGGACCTGAACTTACTAACAGTAAATAAATATATATCCAATGAGATGTAAGTATATCTCATTGGATACATAT